TTTCCAGATGTTAACATTGCATGACACCAATTAAAACACAGTAAATATTTCTTTCTCAAGTCTCTGCCTCCCTTGAGGAGGCTACGCAGTCACAAGCAGAAGTTGTTATCAGTGCTGATGCTGTTATATATAGATAGATGTATGCTTGTTGTGTTTGTATACATGCACACATAAATATATGTATGTGTGGTGTGTATATGTATTATAAAACACTTTGATATCTTTAGCATGATGAAAAGCTTGGGAAAAGAAACTCACTATGTGTTTAGCATCTGTAAATACAGCCGGCTGACAGAAACACAAYATAAACAATGAGGGAGATTTACAGGCTTTTGGATTACAAGGCTTTTGGATTACAAGGTGTGATCTGCTAACAGTTCACTGGGCTAAAGCAGTTTACTAAGCAGTTCCCAGAGGACTCAGTATTTTTAACAGTGACATTTCCAAGTAGTGCCTTCAGAAGCTGGAATTCCTAGCAGTGAAACCGCAGCTCCAGAAAGTGTAAGTAAAGCATTGCCCATTTGCACTGTTTGGTTGTCAGCCTCACGCCATGAGGGTTTTGCCTTCTCTTGTCACCCTGTTCAAGGCCAGCCCAGCAAAGAATGCAGTTCTGAAACTAAAGATTTTATCTTGGTTCACTTTTTTCCTCCTAATTTTAAGCAAATAAAAGCTTGCAGATATGACCACTGCCTAAGTTAAAAGCACAGAAGAGATACTACTCACAAAATCAAGAGAACAACCTCCTTGATTTTGAAGGCTGGCAATAACATGTAGTACCACATCAGCGATACCTCAGTGTGTTCCCCTGGGAATTTTTACAGGAAATGTAGCCACTTTTCATTAAGGAAGGCTGGAGTAAGCCCAAAGCTGCTTTGCTCTGCTGCCTCGTGCACAGAACAAGTTTGCTTTGCCAGAAGTGCGTGTTGATGCAAGAAGTTACAGTATCTTTTCATTTCTAATTCTGCAAATAAAATACCTCCTCTCAGAGGACGGAATGTGATCGACCTGCATCTATTTAAGTCCTTGAAAGCTGAGAGTTGCATATTAGCACTTTTTCAYGGTCTGTCATGAAACTGGGCTGCAGCTTGGGGCCACAGACCGTAACACAGTTCACGTGTGATGGTCCATGGGCAGCGGTGCCCTCCGCGTGTGATTCTCGTTGAATGGAGCTGCAAGAGGAAACTGTGCTTCCTTTCCGGGCAGGATGCAATACGCCTATCCACGCTGGTGTGAGGGGACTGACAGTTCTGATTTGCTTCCCCTATATTTAACTTCTGGCAATCAACTCACTGGTTTAAGGGAAACACATTTTACATTAAAGGAGTTAAAAGAGGCAGCCGAAGTTCTTGTAGGGAATATGCTGGGCATCTTGTTTTCCCGTAGGAGTATGGTTTTCCTATAGAGGTGGAGAACCYTGCTGTTGCTTGTGCAGAGGGGTTTGTGCTGAGCAGAAACTCGGCAGCTTCCTGAGCTGAAGTGACAAGACTACCTTTATATTTATTTTTTCCTTAAAAAAAAGGTAAAAAATAGCAGGTGAGACTTCCTTCATTTTTCAGCCAAGAAAAATACCTTTTTTTTAATACTTAACAAAAAATAAGTTTATCTTATGAGGCTTGCAAACTTCTGAAGTAAAGTTTTTGCTTGTGTAAATAACAAAATCAGAGTTTATCAGACACTAAAACAGACTTGTGACATCTGACATGTTTGGAGGCTTTTCTTTCCTTTTTCTAAAACTAAAAAACAGGTGAGTGAATATATTATATGTGTATCTAAGTATCTTTCCTTGATACCTGCAGATGTTAGTTATTTTGATAAGGTTTCCCAAAGTATATCTGTTAAAACTAATGTGATATAATAGGAATACTAAGTAAATCAGGAGAAATTAAAAACAGGGTTGGGGCTGCAGCGTATCAGGATATCCACTGACTGATAGGTTTTCATGGCTCTATTGGAGTGCACAGAGGTTCTGTCCTGACTTATTTTAACAAATTGCAGCTGTGCTACTTAGTAGGCATGAGAATGGTCAGGRGTTTCAATCATGTAGGATCTCAATCTTAATCCTACTCAGAAAAGCTAAGGCTTCTGCTCAGACCTAGAAGAATATGACAGGCTTTCTTTTTGCATCTTTTTGTCATCTTTTTGCAAGATGACATGATGCACAATGAGAATGCTATATATTATTATTAACATTTTCATTTGGGTGGTATTGATTTGAAAAATTTCACTATGGAAATCTAAATCAATATCTAAATCAATCAATTTTTTTKTTGTTGTTGTTTTTTTTGTTTCCCCACTCTGTCTCTAAACAGCACAATGTCATTGGTTTTTAACCCGTAGGATTTTAGGGCTTTTTATGCCATGCAACTACTGGTTAGCCTCTACAATAGAAACTCAGTACAGTCCATAGAAACAAATGGTTGGAATTTGAAGTATTATAAGCTGTGCTAGAAAATATGCACAGTTTTGAATAAAATCCGAAACAGATTAAGTTAAAAAAAAATCTGTAACCTTTTGGAGCAACTACAGCTGCTAATAAACTACATTTACTAGAATGGTTAAAGTATGCAGGAAAACAGAAAGTCTGCTGTCCTGTGTTTTGAGAGGTTACAGTCAGCACAAAGGAAATCAGAAATTCTTCCGTACTTCGCTGTGAAGGGATGAGCTCCTCTCTCAGCAGTCCTGTCAGGACAGGCTTGTGCTCTCAGAGCTCTTGGTACTGCATTTATTGTTCACCCATTCAGGGACATGACCTTACCAGCAAAAGGACAGGCCTTGATATTTTCACTGCTTAGTTTAGAAACCTGAACCCTCCTTTTACCTCAGAAAGGACAGTAAATACAGCTATCTAGACAAATAATAATTGCACTTTTTTTTTCCCCCCTCCTGAGGAATATTCAGGCTTGGCATCCTCTAAAACTCCCAGGTTATCTCTGCTGKCTTGCCTGCTGCTTCTGCAAGACTTGGAAGTCTTTCTCTAGAGAGCCTGGGAATCTGTCAGCCTCATGTAGTGTAAAGCAGGTTGCTGCTGCTCTTCCTCCTGCTCTCTTCATTGCCTCTGCTCTTATTTACTGTTTTCCACTTTCTTAGGTCTTTACATTCCTGTTGAGGAAAGAGTGAGAGGAAAGAGTGGCAAAGACAAGCTCAGAGGAGAATCCCTGTTATGCAGATATATTCCTGAATTGGCTTGGTGCTAATCAGGAAGCAAGCAGCATCTGCCTTCCTAATTGGGTTGGTTTAAACTTTATGCTGTCTGTGCATTCTCAAATTATGGCAATGATGCCACAACACTGAGGTCAATGAGATTACTTGCATGCATAAAGTTATTTGTGTACACAGACCTTTGCTGGCTGTACTTACTGCTCTGGAGAATTATGTGGGATAAAAGTCAAGTAGAAATTGTATGAGATTCTTCTCTCATCTTTTACATTAACATTTTTAAATAATTTTTCTGTCTCTTTAATATTTATAAAGAGCTCTGATTTTTTTTTTATGTTTTCAGTTATTCATCTGACTCAAGATTTAGAGAAACCGGAAGGCCTTGTTAATCTAAATAGTGTCTTCAGTTTTCTCTCTTCTATTTTAATATATTGATTTTTAAAAGAAAAAAAACCACACGTTGTGTCTAAGAGAATAATTTGAAGAACATTTGTATACTTAAATATGACTGTATCCTCAAGCTGTACTCCTCACGATAAACCCTGAGTTAGTGTTTCAGTAAGGGTTGTTCTCCCAAGTTAGGGAAGCGTAGGGAGAAAAGTTTTTTTTTCAGTTGAGGCAAATTCCAAGTTGAGTTTCTCCTAGGAATTTCTCAGGCAAATAGGTTTATTTGCTTTCAATTTTTGTCTAACAGCATTTGTAGTCTGCAAGTGTGCCCCAGTGTATATTGTTCAGTTTTGACCAAGGAAGAACATAGCAGCTCCCACTTTTTTTCCACTGGGTTAGCAATTAGGCCTGTTCCCATTAGGATGTTTATTGAAGTGAGATATGCAGTCACTATTTCAACACTGAAAATAGGATATAACCACAGATCTTGACTTCTTAAAGCCCATTTTCCTCTCTTCCTTCTTTGGTATCGCAGTCATTAAGCTGAAGATGTTTGTCATAATTCCAGAGAGGAAGCAAGCATAATGTTAAACCTGAGTTAAAKAGCTTGCTCTGGTTTATCTTCTCATCTCTAAATTGTAGGCACCTGTACTGGATTTTTGCTTTTGTGCAGACCCTGGTCACAGCTGTTTTACTCCTTCCATTTCCTTGGACATGCATGTACTTGAAATTGATACATAATTCCTTCTTGGAAGCAGGAATTTTCATTTTTTTAATCTTTAATGTGCTACAGAAGGATAAGTTGCTGCATAACCACTAAATAACCTCAAACCCAACAGGTAGTGCAAGTTTGGGGATGAGTGGAGGAAAGTCTGCATGTTACAGCAAGTAAAAACGTGGAAATTCCATGCRTATCTGCCAATTCATCCAAATGTAACCTTTTGAAATAAGCTGGAATGTTGCAAAAGGCATTATGTGTTACTGCTCTTACTGTACAGGTGAAGGTGATTCCAGGGCTGCCTTATGGCAGTTGATTTTAGGTAATTCCTGCTCTGACATGATTTTCCAGAGAGGAAATGAGAATTTTAAAACAAGAAATGTTTACCCTTGAATTCAGCTGCAGAAGGTGCTTCCTCTGAAAACTGCAAGGAGAAAACCTGAAACCCGTAACCTTTGACAAAGTGGAAAAAAAATGATCTTAAACTAAAATGTTTATAATTGCACACTAGTACRTCTAGCTTAATGTGGTATTATGTTTTCCTTTAATTCTGAAGAGATCGTGCATGCTTTTGCAGGGGTTTGGTAACTAGTCGTCAGCTTCTCAGTTTTACCTCTAGCCTCTTAGAAGACTAATTCTGAACTTGTGTGGAGGATGGCTTGCAAACATTCAGCTGGAAGATATGTATGCTTGTCTGCAAACTTCTGATGAGATATTCCCCCGTTTTTCTTTCCACCAGGTTTGGAGGCGACCAGCCAGTGTATATCAATATTATTAGAGATCCTGTCAATCGATTTTTATCCAATTATTTTTTTCGACGTTTTGGAGACTGGAGAGGAGAACAGAATCATATGATCCGTACCCCCAGCATGAGGCAGGAGGAAAGATATCTGGTATGTTTAAAMATAACAAACAGCTTTTAGTGGAACATTTCTGATTTCTCAGTGTATTTAGGTGATGTTGATATTCAAAACTGGTTTCTTGGAAGGCATGAGAAAGAGGCATCTTCAGTTCCACCTTTTTCACTTGTCTTCACACTACCTCGTCCTGAGTTTGGTCAGTTTTAATATGGAGACTACTGTTTATGAATTTAATTATCCAGTTTTATCTCATATAAGCTGTCATCARGGTCCAAGTGGCACTGAATTAGAAGGCTGTCAYTGATTTCAATGGGCTTTGGATCTGGACTATGTAGTGGCTCACATAATAATTCTGCCATTATTTATCACTATGAATATTTGGACAGATTTTTGGATTGAAATTGAGGCAATAACCAGGCAGCTTCACTACAGGAAATGGGGAAATTGAGCAATTAAGTGAGCGCAAGCCTTTAATGTTTTTGCTGGTAAATTATACGAAGTGTTCTTCACGCCAGGCCTCCCATATCTCAGTTCTTGTTTTCATTTTGTTGTCTTTTTTTTKGATTAAAAAGGTAGTAATGATGGTGGTTGAGCTGCTATTCTTACAGCAGTTCTAATTTTGTGCCACAGCTGAACTGTCCTAATGCCCATAAGCCTCTTTCACTGGCCAGGATCCCATGCACAAATAAGAAATATGGAAACTAGAACGATTGCCTCATTGCATGCTGTCTCATACCTCTGCAGTTTGCATGCACACTATCACTTGTCGTAGATGCTACACCCAAAAGAAGATCAAAAAATGAAGTTAAACCTTGCCTCGCTGTGGCAGAAGTCCAGTTTGGATTGAGCCTTCAACCAAAGCTGACCCTGCAGAGGTTCAGTAGCACAGGGGACTGCACATAGTTTAATAATCTGCTATGAGGTGTTGCAGGCCCAAATTTAATGTCAAAATAAAATCAGGGAGGTTCGTCACTTCAGGAGGACAGAGAGACCAAAAATGTATTAAAGGAGCAATATTGGTCCATACACTTGTTGCAAGGCTATTTTTTTTCCATGTGAAATGGCTTTCCTTTTTTTGGGGGGGGGGGGAGGAACTTCTAACACACTTAGCTGCCCACAGGTTTTTTTCATTGACGAACAAGTTTCTAAATCCCAAACTCAGCTGAGGTTCCGATGTCCAGCGGTTCTGTGCCCAGCGTGCCATGTACATGAGCTTTGGTGCCCTGGTGCATGAGCAGGGCACGCAGCTTGCAAAGTGTGTATGGTGTGGGTCTGCTGCTGCGTTGTTACCTCGCTAGAGCTGTCATAGTTTCCTTTTAGAAAAAAGAAAGCTAAAGATCAGCAGTACTTCACCCTACTTTTCATTTAGAGTGGAATTTGTGGTAATTGTCATCTCTCAAGTTTGCTTTACTTTATGAAAGCTGCTACTAATGTTTATTTCATTCAGAACACATGAGGTATACAGTGGGTAGAATTTTACTTCAAACAGAACTGGAACTCAAATTGCTGTTATATTTTTGTGGCTTTAAAAACTAATAGAGGAAATGGCCTAGTACTCACAGTTACATGTGTGCTGTCATATGCTTTAGGAGATTATATACTTAATTATACATATGCACACACATACATAATATGTGTGTATTATATATATATAAGTATGTAGGTATATGAAATGACACATAGAAGCACAGATCAGTTTGGAGGCTGTAATCAAAAGGAAATAAAAACTGCCTTTCTGTCGGGATCGTTAGCCTGGTGGTTCTCCTCAAAAGGCAGTTTGTCTTTCTGAGAGACCCTATTGGCAACCTTTATGAAAATTATTTCTGCTTTTTCGTTTTGATCCTCTCTGTTTATAGTTCTGTATTAGAAACCTGGAAATGGTTTTGGATCTGTCCTCCGTCCTTCCTTGGCAAAGTCTCACGCCAGTTGTGCTGCTCAAAGCGAGTGGTTGTTCTGGTCAGGGTAAAGCACAGGCCGCTTGCCAACGCAGCTCGTTCTAACAAAGCCAGTCGGCCAGAATGCTAAGTGTTTTTAAGACCTGTGCTTTCCAACCGAATAATACAGTACATGACTGCATTTTTATCTTTTCCATGCCGGTGCTAGGAATTCTACTGGCATGTGTTTTAAAACTCAGGTAATAATAGATTTTAGGGCATGGTAGCTTCAGACGTCTGCTGAATCAATTGCCTGATGGAGCTATGAAGAAAATGTGCCGTCAGTCTCACCTCTGCCCGGGAGCCAGCACAGCCCTTAGGCACACAAAGGAGGCCTGGCCCGGCTGCTATGCTCCCACTATTCCATTTTTCCTGGAGATTTCCTAAATCATATTAAACCCTATAGCATTAATAGAGATTAAACCATGTAGCTTTTTTTTTTCTTAATGGAGGGAAACGTAAAGGATAAGCATAGACTGAAGCGATCTGTGTATTTCAAATGCTTTAGGAGTTACTTTTCATATTAAACAGTTTCTTTACTGATCACAGTGTTAAACGTAAGTGTTTGGAATGAGATGTGCCTGACCATGTGCAGACACATGGAAGTGGGAGGACACAAGACGCTTTTTCTTTTCTTTCATTATGTTTCAAATCAAAAGCTAGGAAAATACAGAACTAATTGCTCAACAACATTGAGCTTATTGCTTAAAAGCCTGAGAAGTCTAGTGTTGGCAGCAGATATAAACTTCCAAAATAGATGGGGAAGTTGTAAATGTGTACCAAGGTCCAGTAATTCCTATGTTTCTGGCTCTAGAAGAGCGAGCTTTGCTTGGAGGAAAGGTGCACTTGTTATACAGCTGAGATATTTGGGGGTTAACGGTGCTTTTCACTTCAGAGTGAATTTATGGAAGCTCAGCACCTCTACAAAGTGGGCTCTTAAATAAGAGAAGAAAAGCATCTTAAAATAAAGTTTTCTAAAGTTCTGAAACATCAAAATCTTGTGTGACCATTTGGTTGCAGTGTCTTTAAATGGAGGCRTTTCCGCTACTCAGTTCTGGTCATGAAAAATAAGAGGGTGAAAAATAAAAATACCCTTGAGGTCTTGTAGGTCTTTGGGTGCTATTTTTTAACTTAGAAAATCCAAACTGCTGACACTGCAAATATCAGAAGCAGAGACGGAAATTTCCACTGTGCGCTGRTCATCTGAAATTTTCTCTGAATAGAGCTTCAGACTTTGACTCTGTTCCAGAGAAAACAACCATKCATTCAAGACTCAGATAAGTTGTTTTAAATGTTTCGGTAAATGTCTGTGTTTACCAAAATTTATTCAAAGCCAAGGCAGAAAACAAGTCCTTTATTCAGAAGTCAGATACGGTGCAGGCAGCTGCTGCAATGTGAGACTTTCCACCCAGATCAGCCCGTTCCTTGTCTTGACCTGGAAAGGGCACACGCTGAAGTGACTTAATGTCAGTCACCTAAACAAATTACTTCCAAGGTTCTCCAAATTAAATAGTTCTGGCAATGCTAGCCAGGCTTATTGTATAGAAGGTAATAGTCTGAAACTACGAGGGTCACTCCAGAGACRTCTCAAGCACCCTCATGCAAGGGCTGCCCTAGCTTTTGTTCACACAAGATGAGGGAAATTCATGAGAATGAATTTAAATGCATCCTAGTGAGTATTCTGAAGCTTGAAATAAAGTTCTTAGGGTAAATACACTTCAGTAAAGCAAATACATTATCAGTACAGCTGTAACAGCTACTCATACTGAGCAATAGAAAAATGTGCACCAGATGATTTTGTTTAAGGCTTGGAAGTTGTGAAGATGAGAAGCGCTCCTGATACAGAGCGTGACTACCATAAATATTTGAAAGCCTTGTATTGCTAGCAGGCCGTCTGGAAAGGACCATTTTAATTAGATAATAATTACAACTATAGTTACAACTGCAGTGTGAGACATGAAATAAAAAAAAACATACAGAGCATTTTTCATCTTTAACGCATACTGAACCTTTGATCTATGGTTGCTGGGGTTGAATGAGTATGTGAAATAGTACAAAGCTGTGAATTGTTGGCTGAATTTGAAAATACTAGTGCTGTGTGATTCTGGATACTAGGGTCACTCCGCTGGATATAGTAGTAGGGTTCCTGATTTACTCAAGCACAGGATCATCACCATTGAGCTTAATTTACCAGAAGAGACAGGTTTTGTGTGAAAAATAGCTGAGTAAATGAAGAACTTGTCACCCACCGGCGGAACATTTCAGAATTTTATTGTAATTCATGGTTAAGTCTGCACAGTATTTCATTCAGGTTCAGCACAGTCTTTCAGGTTACTCTCTTAAAATAAATATGCTTTTCTATCAAAAAAAAAAAAAAGATAATGCTCTGTATTCAGCCTTGGTTACGCTAAAGCTTGCTGTGCTAAAGTACATAATCCTATAAAGGAGTTTCTATCATTTTGTCTTTTAAGTTAGATATAAATTCTTAAATAATTGTAAAAAGTTCAGTATGATCACAGCAAAGGAGTAAAGTAAAATTCAACGGATATCAGGAAATTTTCTAGTCATGTTTTTTTGAAATAATATGGATCTTTCCTGCTGCAAAGGTTGGTTTTTCAAACTAAATATGAGACATCTTTATGTTGATTTTTTTCATAGAACTAAAAAATTTTTAGAATACTGAATAGTTGAGCCCAACAATCTTTTTTTGTTTTGTTTTGTTTTGTTTTTTGTATTTTTGTACTTCAATAACTGCACTGGTTTTTAAGATAAAGGCATTCACTAAGTATGTCTAAGCAATTTTATCATTTATTTCCTAAAATTTCTATCCACAATGAAAAAATATTACTTCACCAATTGCTTTGCTTGCTCTCATGGCAGCATCTTAGTTCTTATCTTTATTTGAATAATAAAAATATTTGACTATGGTTAGTTGTATTTTGCATTTTCAGCTATATGGTCRCATCAAACTTTCTCCTTCCGATTCTCTTTAGTTTATTTTTTGAATTAAGTGCACAGGTATCGTCTTAGATTTTATTTTATTTTTTTACATTCTTAGAATGAGGTTTTTAAATTGAAAATGGAGGATACAGTAAGACT